TGTACCAAAGAAACTCAACTCAAGAATCGTATAAGCTAGAATAAGAAATATTGTCGATTGCCAGAGCGATATAGTTGAGAGACTCAAGTTACACATTGGAAGAGAACTTGCAAATTGGGACTATCTTCACTTTAAAACAGATTATTAGAGAAGTCCATCTAGAAAGAAAAATAGCTGTCTATCTGCTTAGTTCCTCACACTTTGGATTGTGCAAATATCTATTTGTCTTTCAGAAAAAGCTCGTGATTCCTTAAAAAATCTTTTGCAAATGCACTAAACAGAAGGGGACCTATTTTCTTTTCTTGATATACCTCTGTATAACCTGCTTCAAAGTGAAGATAGTCCCTATGTGCACCATCAGTTCCAATCGAAAATAAAGTGGTCTTTAATATAATAAACCTACATCATCCACTTAATATCATGTCAAACTGCCAAACTGCATTTGAACCCCTTTTAGCAGCATCTTCAAATATTCTGTTCATCTGTATAATATACATTTTCTTTTCCTTTTTCCGAGATTCATTTTTTCTTTTCCGAGATTTTGGCACTTCCTTTCTAGTTCGTTTTGTGCATTTTTCCAATTTTTGAGTTCAATTTCGAGTTTTTCCTCATTTTGAGACGAAATCCAAAAATCGATTCCGGTTACTAGAAGAACTTATAGTTTCGCCCTTTCCATCTTAATTTGTGCAGAGGGAATAATGCATTCAATATTAAAATTTCCTATTTTTTTATAATATGGTCCAACTTCCGAACAATTTATTTCACAATTTCATAACAATAAGTTTTACTATATTATTTTAGTTTATAAAACAGATATTGATATGACTCGTTTCTTGAAAAGTAAATACAATTTAAATTACTTCTAAGAATCAGTAAATTTACAAAACAAAGTGTTTAATTGCAAACGTTAAATAAAAAAATCAAGATATTCAGCAAAGTATTTTTAATTAAGTTTTATTATTATATTATATATCATTATTATAATTTTTACAATAGATGTCTACTTGAACGACCTCTTCATTGAAGAAAGTAAGTTAAATAAAAAATAAATTTAAAAACAAAATTGTTTATTTTATTTTTTTTGACAATCAAATGATAGCATTAATATTTGTTCGTTAATAAAACCAATATAATGTACCAAAAACGTTATTATATCACTATAACTAAGTCATTTATGTGTACAGAATGGTGTGGTAGAGGCCTGTAGGCCGGCACCGCCTTTCTCCCTCATAAATGCATTTTTAATAAACTGCTTCAAATATTTCAAAATGGAATCAGTGTTTTAGAAAGAGAAATATATTCTCCAGATGTTTTATTTCAGCACATTTTGCGTTATTGTTGGCCGTTTAAATACAAACGACACTTTATCTTCAACTTGAAATTTTTTTTGTTAAAATGTTTTTTATTGCCTAAGCCAATTATTTTTTAATATTTGTTCATGTGTTATTATTTTCTGACTATTCAGGTTTAATAAAAGACCAACCATGAGGAAACTAAGTCAAGTGCTGAATGTCAGTGGCCAAAAAACTAACTAAAGTCAAAGTCATCAACCCGCCATCTTTGGACGCCATTTTGGGGCAGTGCGTTCACTTTTCTGCGGGAACATTGGCTGTTATTTAATAAATAGTTACAAGGAACACAGCGATATGCAATTTACAGGGATATGGGAGGGGGGGGGTCATCGGCGGATGTACGGGGGGCTTTAGGGCTAAAGCCCCCCCAAAACGGCTAAATATAACCATGTTTTATGGAAAAAAATATCTCTTAAAGTATTATTGTTCGTGTAATTACATATAAAAGGACTTAAGGAATCCCTTAAACACCATTTCAAATAGGTAGTTAGTTTCTTTCTTTTTTTTTCCAAAATAATTATCGTAATTTTTATAAAAAAAAAAGCGTTCGGGCTGAAGCCCCCCAAATTAAATCCTTGATCCGCTGGGGCGGGGGTGCACGATAGGGGGGTCTGGCCCACAGACTACAAGGCGAGATTAATAACAGGCCCAGTTTGGCCAGATAGGCTAGTAGGCGATCGCCGAGGGCCCACAAGCTAGGGGGGCCCCCGGAAAGGCTTCCAGAATCATTGTTATATATTTTTCTAGTACACCAAAACAATTGTTTTGTATTCGATTTTTCCGCAAATAATTAATGAATTAAAATGTAAACATTTCACTTTTACCCTCCGATGCAGATCCTGTCCGGTAATCCTTTTTAATTCAATACCACTTCTACTCAGACACCTTCTAGAAAGAAAACTTATTTCTAGCCTACATACAGGACCAGTACCGTGAACAATTAGAAAACAGTTTTACCGACTATTTGGTAAGCTATATACTCTGCTAAACAGAACATCTCATCTTTCAATTGAAAACAAACTATTAATTTACAAGACCATATGAAATCTGTATAGATCTACAGACCTGAACCTTGAGAGACAGTTAAATATTCGAATATCGAACGTATCAATTTGTTCTGACCAACAGGTAATTTTAAGTAACAGAACACAGCCTACACATGATAGTTGTAAATTACGTAGCCTCTGCTTCTGTCCCTCTGATCATTGTGAAAGTTCCTTCTCGCTAAATGTGATTTGGACAAAGCCAATTGTACCAAATCGCTGTAATGTTGCAATATGTATTTGGGATATTGGCAGGTCAGCATTCATCTCTATTTGCCTGGAACGCTGCTGTTATGAGAAATACTAGAACAATGAAGTGTGACACATGGAGTGTTTCTGCTTCTCTGTGCCATAGCTTCGTCTGCTGTAGCTCATTGTAAACGTATGCGTTCTGGCAGTATCTCTAAATGTTCTACCATTCACAAGTGTCCAGGCGTGCGAGAAACAGCTATTGGTTGGAACTGGGAGTAGGAACCGTTCTGCCTGATTGCTGCTAAGTGTAGTGCAACCGTAACCTTGACTGCTATTGTATTATCCAAGTAATATATAATCACTATGTTATGAAGACCAAAATAATAATTTAATTAAAGAATTCCTCAAGGTAGTATCCTAGGTCCTATCCTCTATACAGTTTATACAGCTGACATCCCTACCTGTCCCAACACTGTCATCACCACATATGCCGATGACACATGTATCCTATCAGTAAACAATGACCCAGCAATTGCATCCCAAATGCTTCAATCACACATCATAAATCTAGAAGAATGGTGTCAAAACTGGAGAATTAAAATAAACTCCAATAAATCCCACCAAATTACCTTTACCCTTCGTCGTAAACCAACGACTTCCTGTCCTACAGTTTCCTTTAACAATACTCCACTTATCCCTGTTGAGCAAATCCGATACCTAGGACTCCACCTGGACAAACGACTAACTTGGAATCCTCATACTAGACTGAAACGACAAGAAACCGCTCGACGTTTCCGATTACTTCAGCACTTACTAGACAAACGCTCTAAACTTTCCATTAATTACAAAAGACTTATATACTTGACTATAATAAGACCTATTTGGACTTACGGAGTTGAGCTATGGGGCTCCACTAAACCATCGAATTCCTCTCGCATCCAATCCTTACAATCCAAAATCCTTCGTAAAATCCTCAATGCTCCTTACTTTGTCACTAATAAAATTATCCATAAAGATCTTAATGTTCCTTATGTTTCAGATTTGGCCCAATCCAGATACCTATCCTTCCATAATAAACTTCAGAATCATCCCAACCCTCTCGTTTCTAACCTTGCTTCCTCTTCAATTCCTGATAACCCTCCGAGGCGTCTGAAAAGAAGATGGCCCCGTGATCTCCTAATATAGTTATATCATTAGAGTGCTACCATTGGGTAGTTACTCAGCAAGTGTATTCATGTCATTATATCAATTATGTCCAAATTTACTTGATGTATTTATGTAATACAGTTGTAAATGTCATAAAGAAATAAAATAAAAAAAAAAAAAAAAAAAAAAATTAAAGAACATTTAATAATCTTAATTTACTTTGCCACTTTCATTAATACATTGAAAGTGGTATTCGGTATATTTCCTATTTTTCGTGTTTAAAAAGGTCTCAATATAAACTCGATTACTAGAGACCTGATGCCTTATACCAATCCTGTCAGTCTCAAGTACTTTAACAATAATGGTTGCTCCATAACATGCCACAAACAAAACCTTATTTGTTATCCAAATCCTCTCGATTAATGCATATTCAGCTCCGACCATTCATACAGCTCTCCTCGAAAGCTAACAGATTTTTTTGCGTTGAATATGGTGTTTTAATTCCGTGATCTTTCAATCTGCAAAAAAGATTTACAAAACTTTAATAAGGCAGGTGGAGGGAGACATATGGAAGCGACTGCTGAGTATTGACTAAAGAGAGTGAGATAATCCTGAAGATTTAGGAAAGGTATCCTAAGAAGATTATTCGGCCCGGTAATTGGGCACGGATTTTGGAGAATGAGATAAATAGCGAGTTCGAAAAGCTCTTTGGAGAGGCTAATATTGTGGCCGTCATCAAAGAAGGCATTAGGCCACGTGTCAAGAAAATAATAAATGGCTGGCTTTTTCAATATTCTCCTATATTTATAATATTATTTATTTTTATAATGATTTGAAATAATAATTTATTTTAATTATTTATAATTGATCAAATTATATACATTGTCTACACGGTACACAGGGCCCGCACATAAAGTCAGGTAGTATTGAAATTCAAGGGACCCGTTAAAGATAGGAGGATTATATAATTAATATTCTTATATTGCCAACAATTGGAATATAAAATAAAATTAAATACCAAGCACCACGATACACAGTACACACACACACATGATAAATTTATATGTCTCATTGTCCGGGTTAGTAACAGGGCCTGCTCTAGGAGTTGGGGCTCAATGCTCAAAAAATAGAAAAAAGAATAATCTTTTAGAGAAATATTCATAAAAATCCGGTTTCATATTATTATTTATTCAGCTGTAGTCATATTTGAATAGTAATGGTATGCTTATGGTAATCAATAACATTACAACATACGTTGATTAGTAAATTATTCGTTTTCTGGGCATTGTTGAAAATAATTCAATTTCATAATTGCGATGTAAATTGTTTAAAATTATTGTGATTTATAATTTTTTTTCTGTGTTTTTCAACAAATATAAGCAAAATGAGTTTACTTAAATTGAGTCTTCAGAGCATTCAGTCCGAAAATGATGTAGACGAGTTCAGGTAACAAGTTATTAAGAAAAAATGACGGGGCAGTTGTGATTTCATCAAACATAATAAATCACGAGTTATAATACACGAATTCATTATTATAACAAAAAAAAAAATGTGATGTAACAAATATTAACAGGTTCTGATCTATGTAATGTAGTTAATTCTGAGTTTGGTAACACGATTGCATTGATACGAAGTTTTGAGGAAATTCTTGTTTTTATTTAAACGTTTTTATATGCCAACTGATACTAGAGGGAACATTCAATAATTTTTATCTTTATTCAATCTTAAATCAATCCTTTTCTTCGGCTAGATTCACAAAAATTTAAGCTAGAACTTTTATTTAACAGTTTTAAAAAAATCTCTATCTTTAATCTCTTATTGATATTTTTTCTTTTTCAAGCAGTCAAAGTTTAACTCATTTGTAAAAAAAATTAACAGTTTCGACCCCCGTTCCAAACACGAAACACGATTCTCTAAAATAACAGTTTCTCATCAGGACAGACAAACAAGATCACATATATAACAAGCAAAATAAATCACATCTGCATTATCAGGTTAAACAAGAAATATCAATTAGAGAAATTAAAGTACTCCAAGAAATCTGAACAAACAGACTAACACTGATGATGCCAATAAAATAGTAATAGCTAAAAGTTCTAGGAAACAGAAAGATAAACAATAAATAAGAACTATAGAACTACTGTCCCTCTTATCTAATATAACTCACAACATGATCGGTATATAAAAACAATGTTTACTTATCCGTTCGATGAATAAAAACGAATGGATTTATGATCATTTCTGTAATGTCTACAACCTAACCTAAAATCTTATTTAATCATTTCTTCGATTCATAGTACTAAGTCATTATTTTTATCCTCAAAGAACTTTCTGTATAATTATATCGCATTATGCTAGGTTTATGTTGACGGAAGAGAAGAGAGAAAAGAGCCTGCTTCGACGGCACAGATCCTCCAATGACACGGACGAACAACTTCTTCAGTACTTAAGCAAAAGGGCATCGCAGTTTGAAGAATGCGATGATTTCTTTTGCAACAAGGGTCTTACGAAAATAGCAGAGAGTGAAGACACTATAAAAAAAAATGAGAGCGATCATGCTCCACAAGTAGTATCGAATGAAAATGAAAAAAAAGATATATGCGAGAGAACAATTGAACCACCGGATAAAGAAGAAGAATCTCGCATCTCAGCGCCAATGATCTTCAACTGTCAAGAAGATTCAGACAAGGAGGAAGAGAAGTCATCTAATACTTACATTCCGATCAAATTTTTCATAGAGCAAAAACCAGATGGAACGGGACCCGAGGCTAAACCTCCAATTTACCGGAACATCAATGTCATTTACGAATTCAAATCGAGGTTGAAGAAAGGAACGTATACCCTTGTTAACGTAAGTCCACTTTTAAAGTTATTATTACAAATGAATTTTGAATATAGGTAGTCAGTAGCTCTTACCTCATTAAAACCTATTACAGTTATCAGCTAACAAGTACTAGTACGAGATCTAATTCGCATATTAAGAAATACACTTAAGAACCACTCCCGACTAAGTATCGTGGTAAAGAAAACCTATAAAAACATGGCAACAACTATTCGTAGCGGCCTGTTTATCTTTTATTGCGTTGGGTTCAGCTCAGTTCTCCCATTTAACTCTTAGTATTAGTTTTAAAAATAGAGTGTGTGAGCAGCAGAGCACCGTCTCTAAGGACGTGCTTTCTAAACATTTTTGTTTGCTTATCTGAGGAAATTAAATGGAATTTCAAAATCAATTGGTAGTCCTTATTATGTTAGTCCTTAAAGAAAACACAACATTATTGGCTTCCTGTTTACCTTTACAAAATATTATTAATCCTGTTTCACTCTTTCGAATTTCCAGAGCCAACCGTCGAGTGCCTTTGTTAATTTTTTGATGTTATTCCAAAGTAAATTTTTTTTCGTTTACAAGTTTAAAGTTTTTTACCGTATTGAGTTTATCCAAGAAAGCAAATCATGTAAACCGTCCTAAGGAACAAAAGTCCGGTCATTGTAGCTTTCTCGCAATTTTCATTGGTTACACAATCAGCTATATTTAAAGGTCTATAGCTTTTCGTTGGAGAATAAAATCTTCAGGAGAAACCTTTTTCGAAATACAGTAGTACCTCAACATGCACAGGTTTTATATCTTCGATTATCGATTATCATATTATCATTGATCATCAGCTAATATAAAATTTGGAAAAGTTCCACATTTACGAGTTGCGTTTTTGACTATTCGTGATTACTAAAAATCTTAAACAGTCACCTGTATATTTTTTTCATGTTGAACATGCATATGAACTTAATATTCATCTTTTCACTCGTAAAATGGTTGTAAGAGTATGAGTACGTTTATAAATTAAATGAAAAGAAGGTTATACATACTTAAGATTTATTAACGCTTAACCCTTCAACAATAAATAATTTTAAAAACTGTGGAATGTGACACAAATAACACATTATTTTTTATGATCTGTGAGCAAAAAGTAGACCCTTATATTGAATAAATTCGAAAAACTTAAAAAAGTCGAAACGCAGTAGCTTATTCATAAAAGGGGAGTCATTTTCAAAATCTGCGGCTTCGGAAATATAAGAATACACCCTTATATCGAATGCATCCGAAAAACTTAAATAAGTCTAAACGCAGCTGCGTAATCTTAAAATGGAGGACATTTTCAAAATTTATGAGCACGAAAAGATATAAGTAGATCCTTATATTGAATAAATTCGAAAAACTTAGATAAATCGAAACGCAGTAGCGTAATCATACAGTGGAGGTTATTTTCAAAATCTACTCATACGAAAACTGATCCATAAATAGAAAAATTAAAAATAATTAAATAAATAAAAAAAGGTTGAATTTGAAATGGAAAAGGTTTAATTTGACTTGGAAAAAGTTTGATTTGATTTGAAAGAGGTTGAATTTGACTTGGAAAAGGTTGAAATTGACTTGGGAATGATATATATGTTTATATGTAAAGAAGTTTCAGGTTTTAACGAATCCTCACTTTTAAGTTAATTATTTAATTCATACATTTAACACATGATGTTAGATAAAAATAACAATATGGTACATGTTGCAATTATTTCAAATTATTAAATGTTTAGGGCTGTGTTTCATTGTTCTTAAAAACTATAAAAACTGATTTAGTTTTGTAGGTAGGTATACTTTTAAGATTTAATGTATTATTTAATTTGAAATTATAATTAATAAATATCTTGTTTTGTAGAAGCAAAAGCAGTCTATAGTTTATCTACAGTTAATACTAAACAAGATTATATATATATATCTATATATATATATATATATATATATATATATATATATATATATATATATATAGATATATATATATATATAATCTTGTTTAGTATTATATGTCCATTATGATATAATGATATAATGATATAATGAAATTTGTCCATGTTTTTTTGAGGGGTGGCTTCATAAATTAATATAATACCTCCGCGCATTGACTTTTTGTAACTTTTTGGATTTAACCGATATCACGATCGATTATTATGTTTTGGGAAGGGGGACAGATTTTTATGATATATATATATATCATCATAAAAATCTGTCCCCCTTCCCAAAACATAATAATCGATCGTGATATCGGTTAAATCCAAAAAGTTACAAAAAGTCAATGCGCGGAGGTATTATATTAATTTATGAAGCCACCCCTCAAAAAAACATGGACAAATTTCATTACTATAAACCAAAATATATATGTGTATTTATTTAATGATTTTGGGATGTATATAACGTTTGGTAAAGCCTCCAAAAAAATATTTAAAAAAAAAACAATTTTTTTTTAATTACTCACGGCGTAAAAATGTTGCATGAGTAATTTACCCATGGAGATAACATTTGTCATGAGTGGTTTACTCATGGAGATAAAATGTTTCAAGAGTAATTTTCAAATTTACTCATGGCTGAGCTTCTAAGAGTGATCACTCGTGACGTCACCGCTGCACATTTACTCGAGTAATTGCTCAACACAACACTTAAAAACTAACCTCATAACTACACTGCAAATAAAATTTATATAAAAAAATTAAAATATTAAATTAAATGTACGCAGCCTACCATATTTCCCAGCCATTATATTCTTAACAGTATATTATATTATTTTAATTAATTTAACGAAATAAATACAAGGCATTTTATTACACTGGTTTCTACTAACTTTGAGTCAAATCCAATTAGCCACTTCCAAACTATAACCATGTCAAAAACAGTAAACATACAAACATCCAGATTGCGCCTTCAAAAGCGGAAGTATTTTTTGAAAGTTGTGAATAGAATTTGATGATGATATCTACTTTTGTCCCTAACTTCCTCCTAAATCTGGTCCAAATAGAACATCCGATGTTATACTGAATCTTTACGAATAAATATGACATTATTCTTCGCATCCATTAATACACTTCATAATAGTCCAAAAATGTCTATTTCTGATACATTCAATGAATTTTATCTGACTTCGTAAATATTTAAATCTATGAAGAGATCAGTAGAGTAATGTTATTAATCATATACTCATGTTTATTTTTAATTAACATTTTTTTTGTATTATGTGGCTTGAAGAAATATTTTTCAAGGACGCGGAAAATAGATGTTGCAATAAAAATAATCCCCAAAATAGGATTACCTGATATACGGTTCTTCAAGTTTGTGCCAAGAGAAATAGACTTAGCAGAAGACAAGAAATTCAGCCATCCTAATATTGTAAAGTTTATAGAGACCTACGAAGTCGGACTAAGGTATTTTGAACGTAATTTCTATTAGTATAGCATTTTATTGAAATACAGTAGATAATTTTGATACTTGAAATACTTATTATACTTATATATTTTATAGGTAATAATAATATATTATTATTTAAATTCCTTCGATTTTCGATTATGCAGGATTTACATCATGATGGAGTATGTAGACAGAGGCAATCTATCAGAATATATCAAAGCAAGAGGCAGGCTAGATCCAGTCACTTACAGAACTTTTTTCGAACATCTCATCAACGCAGTCAACTATTGCCTCGATTACGGAATCTGCCACAGGTAATGTTAATAGAAGAATGCTAACTTATCTATGTTTGTACATATCGTTTCCCTTGGCTTGCTTCTCTGGCCGAAATATATGGCATCAGGATACATAACGACAAGGAAGTTTGATAACGTGATTAATGTTTAGGAAACTGAGTACCGACAACTGCCTGGTCACAGGTAACTTCGTTCTGAAACTTTGTGACTTCTCCTACAGCAGGCACATCGATGACAGGGACGAGCTGCTAAACACCTTCTGTGGAGTTCTTGGTTTCACTGCTCCTGAGATATTGATGTGCAGAGAATATAAGCCCAGGATGACGGAAGCATGGTCATGCGGCGTCATCCTGTTCACGATGATATATGCCGCCATGCCATTCGACAGCTCCAACTTCGCGAGGCTATTGAAGGTTGGCATTTGGAATTGACAACTACTATGTAACTATTGGTAAATCTTCAATTGATTTATAAACTAGCCAAAGGTCATGCAAATAACTATATTCCGTTAAAAGCTGTAGGAAGTAACCGTACAGGCTAAGGGGCTTGCAATAGGTAACCCGAGCAACGTCGATCGTGGTTAGTACTTGAATGCGTGACCGCCCGATTTGGGCGACCGTCCACCAAGAGAAGCCACGCTGGTCGAGATTCCTCTGCTTCCCCGAGTATGTGAGACCTCTCAGGCTATTGAAGACAACGCACACCGACCGGGCGTAGGACTGATGACCCTACTCCGTGTACTTAAAATCGGGAATAGGACTGTGGCCTACTAGGCTCACTGAGGTTTGGTCCATGGACGTTCTGGTTCGGGGAAAGAAATATAGGTCCTCGTATGCCCGCTGACTCTGAGCAGCTATAATCCATGAATCCAGACCGATTTGTCACTGTCCTTGAACCCGACTGGTGGGAAGGATCCTGTCAGATTGGCCACAAAGCGATCGGCTATGGAGCTATGGGTAGCCTGCCGCTGTACCATGGAGACCATGGTTCGTAGTAACGTGAGGTTGGGTGACTCCCTCCAGGCTATCTGTGTTCCCGCAAGCAATAAACATCTGTAAGGAGACTATATATCGCGGTCAAAGATTTCCATGGTGTATAGCGCCAACCGAAAAAGAAAAAAACATCTGGTGTGTCCACTCACACGACTTTCCTACTTATTTCAGAAAAGAATGCATTCGACATGAATGTAACCTTCATCAGTAAAATCACATCAGTTATTATACAAATAATAATGTCAAGATAGTTTATTTAAAATAAACAATTGTGAAACTTCATACCATAACGACTGTTAAAGTAACCATGGACTTAATCAGCGATTAGCTTGCTTCACTAGAAAACATCCCTCCAGATTAATAGTTAAGCAGTGAGACAAATTTATCCCATAACAGATATTTTGTACTTATTATTCAGATATTTTAAAAATATTCAACTGTTCATAATCAGACGTGCCGTAGGGATCATAGCGGTATTTTAATCCCTTAATCTTTTCAATTACCCAAAAAACCTTTAATATTTAAAAAAATATTTTCTTTTCGTCAATCAAAAATAGATTAGTTAACTAAGATATTTCACTCAGTAAAATGTTGATTTTTAATGTTGTATGAGCCTTTCAAATCTGACCATGGAATAATGTTTGAATTACAACGAAAATTGTTCGACATTATTATTATTGTTATTATTATTTTCACTCACATTTTGTATGCTGGATTCGATTTTTATTATCATGAACAGCTATTCCAAACGATACACGGCTTGAAAAAAGAAGTTACTTGTTCTTATTTTCAAATCCACAATATTATTTTGAAAAAGAACTAAAATAAATAGAAAATAAATATATTTTGTTTGTCCAGACCTTTTTATCGCAGCCGACCGCAGGTCTAACATCTATTTAATTATTAAGACTAGAATCCTTAAAAAATGTTAAAACAGATCCCAGCTGCATCCACCTGCGTCAGTAATTTAAACGTAATTTAATGTTTTAAAATGAATTAAGCTTATTAGTTTATTTTCGAACGAACGCTTATTTGATATGAAAAAAATATTGACCATAATTATATAATTTTAAAAATATAATGTTATGTTTTATATAAATTAATTAATTTTCGTTATATGTTAAATATAGTCATTGAGCCCTAAAGATATCAATTAATTGTTTTTAAAAAAAATCGTTAAGTTTTATTAAAAACCAAAGCTCTATCGTATTTTTTTTTTATATGATATATAAATTACTATATCTTTGTACTTTATTTTAAATCTTTCCCTTAGATATAATTATATGCTAAAAAAACTATATTAAAAAAATAAAATAAAAATTCAATTTAAAAAATGTTTCTTCAGATTCTATTTCGGATAAAAATAAGGAACTCCGTCGTATGTTATATATAAGTTAGTAAATTTGTAATGAATTTGAATTGGAAAAATAATTAGTTGTCCAAAAATAATTTCATGGAATGAGTTGTTGGTATTTGGTAACACGGAATGAAATCTCTCAACATTCCATCTCTACGCCAAATGATGCTATTGCTTTTATTTGTTTTATAAAATTGGTAAACAATTTAATTTTTTATAGAATAGACAGTTATAAATTGGTTAACTACTTTAACTGTAAACTTTTTAAACCACAATACTACCTCGCTTATTCGTTCTAGACAGAAGCGAGACATGGCCGGTTAAAAAGAAATTATAAATTAAATTTAAAAGTATCTTCAAAAATTAATTTATAGCTCACCTTATCTGAGTGTTAATATATGATGCATTTAAATTGATCAGACCATCGTATTGTAACTTTTCTTGAATATATGATTTAATTTAAGTGTATAAACGATTGTTCGCTACCACGGGCGGATCTACGGGGGGGGGGGGAGGGCTTTCGTGCTGAAGCCCTCCCCCCAAAATGGTAAAATATAACCACGTTTTATCGAAAAATATATTCAAATATTATCTCTTAAAGTATTATTGTTCGTGTAATTACATTTTAAAGGACTTAAGGAATCACTTAAACACCATTTCATACAGATATTTTGTTTCTTTCTTTTTTCCCAAAGTAATTATCGTCATTTTTATGAAAAAAAAAGCTTTCGAGCTGAAGCCCCCCCCCAAATTAAATTCTGGATCCGCTAGTGTTCGCTACTTAATAGTCTTCACAAGGCTCGTTAATTTTTTTTTTCTTAACCGATCCTAAGTTAATCCATCAATTTGAATAAAAGTGCTGTCTAGACTACTGAAAAACGTCAAATAATTAATCCCTCTTCTTTCACACTATAACAAGATTTTCACTATTTGTTACTCCGTTAGTTTTCCCATTATTAGTTTGCTATCCCATTAATTCTCTTAATGTAAGTTCACAGGTCAAGATTGGTAGTAATAAAAACAAATACCTCATTTATTTCACTAATTTAGTTAGCTGAAGCTACCGTATTCTGAGAGAGCCGTATGTAGATATTTAATAGTATACTTAGTTGTGATTATGATGGTTTCAAAACTTTCAAATTTTTCTGTAACTTATAGATAAGGACTGCCATAGTTTTTCAACCATAGTGGGACGAATAAGGAAAAACTAGCGATATCGGCTGAAATAAATTTTTTTAGAACTCTAAATACAGGATAAATTGTTATATTGATAACTTCTGGAATTCGTGCGACTTTTTTTCAGTTGGCAGAATTCACTGTTTTTTTCACATTTTTCACTGTCTTTGAAAAAAAAAAAATAGATTCTGCCGTCTCGAGTTTTCCTTTACCCGTCCAACTGTGCCAACACGCCCGCCATTGAAATCCACAAACAAGCACAAAATCCCCAATAATCTATGCGCATCAAATTTAAGTTAAAACATCAAATTATGTGTGAAGAATGAGAGCTATGGTTCTTATTATATACTATTTATCGCCTTGGGTTGGACTTTTTTATTCACATCATAAAAATTCCTGTATTTAAATTTCATATTGTGTATCGTCTTTTTTACAGGTCTTTTCATCGTCTTTTTAATTTATTTCTATCGCTTTTGAATAGAAAAATGGGAGAGTACGACCGTACTTTACAGTACAGTATACCCGCAAAGGGTAAAAACACATTTTCGCTGAATATATGTAAATTATCAGTGGCTGTACACGCCGTCCAAGTAAACATATATAGTTTTTCCAATAATGTGGCTCTTTTTTGTTTAAATTTCCAAAAATATCGAAATATTATATACAAGTAAGAAATAACTAATTGGAGTAAAAATAATGAATAACGAAGTAATAATTTATGTGTACATATTTACAGTAGCATCTATTTACAATTTTATGGGGACTGGATGGATAAGAAATGATTGAACAGGCGGGATTTAAAGGTAGGAAGGGTATTGGATTGACGGATGTGGGAAGGGAAGGGGAATATGGAGTTTTTTGCAAAGAAAAATTGTAGATATGACAAAGAACAGGAATGAGATCAGGAAGGCTGGATTTTATTAGTTTTACTGGAATATTATCAGGACCATAATCCTTAATGTGGGATTTTAGGATAGTGGAAAGTAATTCATCGTAGGACACATGGGAGAAAAATAATCTTCAGGATTGAATTTGTGATGTTTAATATCGAAAGTATAGGTGAGAGGAAGGGTGAGAAAAGGATAAGAAATGGTTATTGAAATCATCTGGAGAATAAGAGAAGGAACTAAGATTATTGGATTCTGGTTGGGGTAGGTTATGTAATATTTTCCATTTAGATTTGGAGTATGGAGCATTGGACAGGGCATTATGGAAGTAGGTGGTTTTAGGAAGTTAGACTGCGGATTATGTTCCATTGCGAAGCGCCTTGAAAGACGCATAATCCACAGGTAGACGGTTATATTAAAGACCATTTAACTGTAAAATAATATGGCGAGTTCATGACATAATCTGGTTCCCTCAGAAGCTCAGTGCTCCATTTTGTGTTTGCTGTGAGATATTTAGCACCAGCTATTATTAGCTGCTTTTATTTAACTAAATAACTGACCTCTTTATAAAATAATTATTTTTAATTATCATAAAAACATATAAATATAATAAATTGAAACATCTCATTACATGATATCAATAAAAATGACATCGGTATCCTAAGAATTATCATCATACTAAATAAACGGTTACCATATTTGAGATTCAACAACATTTTTAGATTGAGATTTTATAAAAAAAAAACCTTAGGACATTTATTTTCCTCCCACTTTAGTTTGAAAAACATATGAAAAGATGTTAATGCTTGCCTGAGGAAATCGAATAAAATTTCTTTAAAAATGACACTACTAAATTCATGTCTAATATTTCATAATGTTATAAAATTGAACATTTTATAATTTGTTTTCAAACATAATTTATCCAAATAGTGGGAGAAAATTTTGAGACCCAAAAAGACACTTCTCTATCACCAACGTATTAATTTACAACCCCAAAATTTATAACAATCCTCTAAATATAAAAAAAAATTTGCACTCTATCGGAGGATATCAGAGGAGGGTTAGAGGTACATTTTATAATCGTTCTTGAAAACCTAGAACATGATGATGAGTGTTTCAAAAATTTCTGATGAGATGTCCCCTCCCTTTCCCCAAATCACTCCGATTACTTTAGATATAGAAAGGAAAATTAGACATAGACAATAGAAAAGTCTATTATATTCGGTTAAAATGCGTTAAAAAGATAAGATTGAATATAAACAAACTAGTAAAAAAATAATTAAAATGTATACGTGTTTTTCAGCAAGTAACGAAGCCGATAAAATACCACTGGTATTGTGACACTCCTATGGACGCCATCATGATTATGTACCAATGTATATCTCCCATCAGCAGGAGGTGGGACGTCAGGAAAATTCTCGGTCATCGTTGGGTCACACCTCCTTCAACAAGAGGTTATGAGAACTACGTGAGTACTAATAATATGCCATTTATACTAATACCAGAGTACTAACACCATTTATATTGTCCCATAACTTGTTCGAAAACATATTCTATGATAAAAATCATTTGATAAATGGTATTTTGAATTTGGCTAGTCTCTCTCCGACATACGATGCAGAATGTTGTTTGGGACCTTACATCATACAGGTTCAAAATGGAATGAAAATTCAAAAGATTGGGGATAAGAAGCAAAAATATTGACTTATTTTCAGTAACCACGAAGATACAGTCAGTTCCTTAATCCCTCAAAGTCGTCCGTTAGAGTCCCGTCATTTATATCTTATACACCGCTAATATCCCATCCCGATACGTTCCTGGCAACATTTGCTGATGACACCGCCATCCTATCATCCACCTCAGATCCTAAAATAGCATCCTTGAACAGAACAGTTGCAGTACCCATTTTTAATCATTTAACCAGTAACAACTACCTCACCTCCCACCAGACCAATTTTAAGTACTTTCAACACCCAAATGTTAATAATTTTTCTGTGGTTCATTTATAAATTTTACCTTGTAATGAAACCAATTAGCCTACTCCCAATCCTTCCAAAAATTTTTGAAAATATCCTACTGAAAAGAATCCTACCTATAATAGAATCCCATAACCTTCCAAGCCATACATTCGGATTTAGTTCCCGAAATTTCACTGTCCAACAACGTTTCCGAGTTGTTGGCCATGTATCCTCAACCCCAGAAAACAAGCAGTATTGCGCGGGTGCATTTCTGTACATAACGCTTTTAACTGATATGGCACGCCAGATTGCACTTCAAGCTTAAATTTCTCCTACCACAGACCTTATATCTAGTACTTCGATCCTATATCTCCGATCGCTCATTTCGAATTCGCTGTGATACGGAATTCTTCGATTGTTACTCAATTGATGCTGGTGTTCCTCAGGGTAGCGTCTTGGGTCCCATCCTTAACATTCTCTTCACCGCTGATACTCCTGTCCATCCAGATACCGTTCTGGCAACTTTCGCGGAGAAAACACTGCTATTCTATCTTCCAACTCACATCCTGAAACAGCGTCCGTGGACTTACAAAGGCACCTCTCCTTAATTAAGCACTGGTTTAATAAATGTGTGCTAAATTCAATAACAAAAAAAAAATTCAATATACATTATTTTATTCTCACCGTGGAGGCTTTTATAGGTTGAAATAAAACAGCTGCGCCATTCACGAGTAGTGTAAAGCAACATCTGCCACATGTGGTCAGTATCATCAGCCCTTAAAATTTCTATCGTTACAAGTAATCAGACTTTTCAAGATGATTCAATAAAATAATTCTTTACCTATGATTTTACATAAAATATTTCCAAACATTAAAGTTAAAACATTGTCACAGACAAAATGAATTAAATAACAGTAACAAAAATGTTAAAATAAAAAAATAGAAAAATACCCAGGTTCCCCTTCACATTACTTCCCCTCTTCAAAAGAGTGTCCCTTCCTCTATTCAGAATAAAGGTTGAGTGGGGCTCGTATAGCCCTACCACTTCTTCTTTCTTTGGACTAGATTCTTGATATCTTGAAAATCTTCCTAAGAATCCTCTTGTCCGTAGGGTCTTTATTAAGAACGCCTCGTTCCGCCGCTTACTGCTTTTTTAGGCTCGAATATTTCTCCGCCAATCTATTATATCCGCAGAATATTCCTTTTTTGGCTCGTGTGGGCCATATTCACGGTTACCCTCAACTCTCCTCTGGTCATCTTGGTGATTGCAGCCCTCCTCTTCAAACGGATTTTTTTCGTAGGAGATTGAAAAACCACAAATAGAAAAAAATCTAATCTCCTAAAACTGGAAACAAAATCATTATTATAAGTATAAAGTAATGGTGGTGATGATGTAAGAATCTTACACATGTGGCACATCAAGACTGTAACGTCGGCACACGTTAAATAAGTTTTCTTAGATGTTGTGTTTTTCATCAATAAAGGCAACATAACATCCAACAAATTTCACCTGCCATTATATTTAGTACTTTAAACAATTAAATACATCGGAGTTCGGCTCGAGCTGGTGAGAAATAAAGATCGACTCCACGTCATCATCGTCTACGGTTGGGTATTATTCGTCCAATTGAACTGAAATTTTACACCTAGACGGAGCTGTGTGTTAAAGACAGCAATGAAATCTTGTGAAAATTGAGCTAGGATATCGGCCACAATCAGAAGGCAACGAAGTTGGTGTATTTGTGGGACCGGAGTATTATCGCTCTGCAGCCTGGTACCTCTTGGCCACCTCAACCTCTCACCAAGGTCAGTGTCGTCTTATCGATACAATCATCGAAGGAGCCCAACTAATTTGACTGTTACGTAGTTTATATATTCGATCCCTTTCTCTCATAAAATACAAAAAAAATGTAGTGTTTATAATCATAATTTATTATTTCTATGACGTTCTAAATCAAATTATTAAAATAGATCAATAGACGCACAAATTTTTTAATTTATTATTGGTGAACTGGTTTTTTTTTAATTCTTTAATGATCTTATATTTTGTATTTTATTTTATACTCCAGACAATATATTAAATTTACTAATGTGATGTGGATAGTTGTATATATATATATATATATATATATATATATATATATATATATATATATATATAATATTATATATATTATATATTTTAGATTTTTAGATTCTCTAAATTTTTAATTTTTAACTGATTTTTAGGCAATTATTATTTTTATTGTTTTATTTATTTATTTTTTGAGATTTTAACTTTTTAACAGTTTATTGATTTTATACTGTAACTCATTTTAGGTAATTAATTTTTAAATTTTAACTTTTTTAGATTTTAATTTTTTAGATTTTAACTTTTTAACTTTTTTTAGATTTTAACTTTCACTTATTTTTAGGCAATTAATGTTTTTAAATTTTAACTTTAAACTTTTTACTGATTCTATATTATAATTTATTTATAGGCAATTTATTGATAGATTTATACTTTTTAACCTTTTATTGATTTTATATTCTAACTAAATTTATTTAACAATTGATTTTATAGTTTTTAACTTTGTATTTATTTATTTAATTATACATTTCACACTCCTTTAACAGATTGTTTCAATCATGCGCGTGATGGGCATAGTCTCGAACAAAAAAATAATATTGCAATGAACGAAATACAAATAAAAAAGATCGAAGTTGGACAAAAGGTATGGGTTCTGAGAACTGGGGCACCTATTCAGGAGGCGGTTGTTGCCTCTGTGATGTCTGTGGCTGCTGCAGGAGGCGGAGAAAATACATTTGTTAAAGTGGAATGGCCCGACACAGAAGGTGTTGGATTGGGAAAGAAGGTGTCGATAGATGATGTCTTTCCCAGATTGCCAAATGGTCAGCTGAATGTCCCAGAGGTACATAGTGAGCGGCAAGATGAAGCTCTACGCCCAGATGATAAAATTTGTCCGATATGCGGGATTTCTTTTAAGGGCAAACGAGGTCTCGGAACCCATATTGCAAAAAAACATCCCAGGGAGCCGAATAACAATACATTAAGGGGGATATTGAAGAACGTGATAGGTCCTAGAAATGGAGAGGGTGAGACATCAAAAATAAAAGAGGACATTGTTAGATGGTCTACTACGTTCAAGAACCTATCAAAGCAAAATATAGTAAATACTGCGGATTTTGATGAGGCCGTAGGCAAGTTTCCAAAGTTCCTCAAAGGTATTAATGCAGAACTACCAGGTCCACAGCACCCAGCCGTCAAATTTTATAGGATGATGAAAAAAAAAATGAAAATGGCTGGCAAGGGTGCTGGAAAAGTGTCAAATCCGCAAAGAGCAAATAAAGTAGACTGGGGTCGTCAGCAAAAACAACAGCAGTATGAGGTTGCCCAATATAATTTCTACAACAAAAGAAAAAAGGTTGTGCAAACTATAATGAATGCCGACGATCCTAAACGGTGTCCTCTAAATATAGCCGAAATCGAGGGGCATTATAAAGACCTCTTTGAAAGCGAAAATCTCTGTGGGCGTGCGGATTACGAACAGTGTGCCCTGGTGCCAAATTTGCTGTCCATTGAGCTAGAAGCTGTCAAAAAAGCCATTAAATCGACATCGATGGACACATCACCAGGGCCTGATGGAGTTCTGATCCGCACAATCAAATATTTTGACGTATCAAATATTATTAAAACGATTGCAGAGATAATGCTGAAGGTGGCATATGTCCCATAATCACTACGACAGGGGCGCACAATATTAATATATAAGGAGAAAGGTGATGTAAACCATATCTCTACCTGGAGAAACATCACCATATATTCGATTGTGCGCCGAATCATAGAGAAGGTTCTGGACCACAAATTAAGAAAGTAGGTCACCTTCCACAAGAGTCAGAGAGGCTTTATAAAAGGCCTCTCAGGAACGCACGTCATCGCGAGGATCGTCGATGCAGTATTAAAAGATGCACAGAAAATGAAAAATGATTGTGCGATTATTTTCCTCGAAGTTGTCGGTGCTTTTGACAATGTTGGCCCCAAACACATCGTAAGCTCCTTAGAAGCGATAGGTGTGTCACCGAATCTTAAAAATGTCATATCAGCTCTCCTTAGCACGAACACCATAAAGATTAGTAACGGTGTCCATGCAACTAGCCAGATCAAAGTGCTGAGCGGTGTGCCCCAAGGCGGCCCCCTCTCGTCTTCACTCTTCAACCTGGCCATCGATCATCTCTACCGCGACCTGTGCGATGAGGACTTTTCCAAGAAATTTGGATACAAATTAAGGAATGAGCAGGATTGTGTGGTCCTCACAGGTTTCGCGGATGACCAGACTGTGTCGGCGCGAGACAAGGGGGCTGCAGAAAGAGTGATTGACAGCATACAGAGAACATTTAAGGAAATTGGTCTGGCTATAAACTCTCAAAAAAGTATGGGCATCATTCTAAATAAAGGAGAGCTGAAAACGACGGTTCTCTCCCTTGAGAATGGTGAGTACATCCAAACATTGAAGAATGTCGATACGATTAAGTATTTAGGATGTATATTCTCGGGAGAGCTACAATTCAACGAAGATTCTGTGACTAAATTGAATGATAATCTAAACAAGCTGATAACCTCTTGCTTACTTAACCCTGAGCAGAAACTCAACATTGTCAATCAATATCTGTTTCCGGGTCTTACTTACCCTTTCCAAACTGCGCCCCTAACAAAGCTGCGTCCTGGCATGCTGGAGGGCATCGACACTATGATTCTCAGGAGCGTAAAGGCCATTATTGGACTCCCTGCGAATACTTCCACGGCGATGTTGTATGTCCCCAGGAGATACCAAGGATTGGGATTAATCCGCTGCCAATGGGAAGCTCCTCTTCAACATTGGTCCATTGCTCAGCTACTGTCCAATGTACCAGATGCACTTTTTCAATCTACCTTCGACTATTCAGCAGAAGTTGCTGAATGTGCCGAGAGATTGGGGGTTGATCAGGGTCATCGAAATGTGAAAGCTCTACGGCAGTCGCTACGAGAAAATGCATTTGAGGAATGGGCCAACTGCAGGTGGCAGGGTATTGGTGTTCGCCATTTTAAAGAGACCCCGAAAGCGAACAGATACATCTACGAAAAACAAATACTTTCTAGGTCTGAATGGTCGGATGCCCTAACACTAAACATTAATTATGCACCCCTGCGTGGAGTCCCAGGTGTCAGCGGACAGGTCAGAAATGTTGGGCCCCTCTGCCGTAATTGCAGCAGAGTCTGAAACACCAGCCCATGTGCTGGGAAAATGCTCCAACAACTCATAACACGTCGTCACCACCGGATCAAGTTCGAGTTGATTAGGCTCCTTAGGGAAAGGAAATTCACCTGCTTTGACGAGGTATATTGCACCGACAGTGAAGGCTCTACGAGATACGCGGATATGTAGGATTTCCCAAGACAGGAAGGACTTGGATCCAACCGTCCGCTTTGAGAGCAATGACCTCGATCAGGCGGGTGAAGTGGAAAGGGAAAAGAAGAACACGTACGATAAATGTATCCCTTTCCTAAAAGAGAAATTCCGTGAGACTTTCGGAGAGAGAGAGTTCACCGTGAGAGGTCTCTGGTTTGGGTCTTGTGGAACAATTTTAAAAAGAACAAGGAGCTTCCTCTAGGAACTAGGTGTAGACATTATGGACGTAGCAAGGTTGGCTGAAAATATAGTCCTCGACTCCCTGGAAACCATTCACCACCATGTGCCAGGCTGGGAGTTTTAATTTATGTATTTATTTATTTATTTAATGGAAAATTGGAAAAAAAAATAGATAAAGAGAGAGAAGTGAGAGAAGGGGAAATAAAAGGTTAAAATAAAAAAGAGAAAATAAATGAAAAAAAAAGGATATACAAAAAAGAATAATAATACATATATCTATATATATATATATAAATATTGTATACTATGCTCATACATATTGTTAACCCTATATAATTATATATTGTTTTAAAAATTATCTGTAGTGATTAATAAGTATGCTGTGTTTTTAGCAACCCAATGTAATTGGGCAGCACCATTTTATGATAATAAAGTGATTCTCTCTCTTTGGATTTCATACATCATTTTATTTCTATACTAATAATTCTCTATTTCCTAGAAAAACATATGTGTTCAAAGTAAATATTAAAGAGCATGAATTTCTTATTAGATGAAATGCTATAAAAAGCGAACGAGGGGACCGTCATTCCCCGTGGTGAGAAAGAAATTTATAGAAATCATGGAACTGATAAAACGCGACTACGACGCTTATTTAAATGAGAAACATGAAAAAATGTATCAGAGAACTGAAGAAGAATCCAGCGAACAAGGTATTTCCCGTCAATCAAGGTTGTGCAAATTGGAACAAGAAAATCGATAGTTTTTTTTTTTTACTATTTGAAATCCATCTTAAATTACATGAAATATGAGATATTCATGAATTTTGTATTTCTTTAAGTGAAGTTTAATATACTAAGCTAAGTACACATAAGACCATTATCGCTCAAATCAATTCGTCCAGGTGCCAACAATTTATTATTTGTAAGTTTATTTATTTACACTTTATAAGTTGTTACTGAAATCAACTTCCCCTTCCATTTAGACCTGTAGACAAATCTGTGCTATTTCACCAATGAGTATGATGTTCTGCCGAGTCCCAAATTTATAATAGCAGTATATACATTTTGCTTGATTTACATTTAGTTGCTAGATCGTCCATCAGGAAAGGTCGTATTTATAAGCGCCAAAATTCCGTAAATTTATTTATTTCCCACAGCGAGAAATTTAGTTAATCAACTACCTAGTCCGAATTTTTGAAAACATGTATGGAGGTAATCATGGCTGGTAAGATGATGAGCATTTGTCACAAATATATTTCTGGTCGGATTAATGGAAGTGTTTGTCTCCACAAATTATTCTAAACTATTTCGGACACACTGTGGTTCAGAGGCGGAAAAACCCATAAAAAGAAAGTATTCCAATCATTTTTTTTTTTAAATCTTTCCTTAACACCAGTAGAACGTATGCCAGTAACTATTTTCTTCAATTCTCCCGAATCAGACCTTAAAAATACAAATTAATGAACAGTGATTTTACAAAAAATATAGTAATATTTACAGGTATTTCGAATTAATATTTTTAGATCTTAATAAGAGAGAAGTTATTGATTTTTTCTTGGAAATGTCAAACTTATGGTTAACTAAGTATAAAAAGAATTAAATTTGGTACAGTCTTAGAGTTCTTTGGTTTTCATCGTTATAACATTGAAAAAATCGTAGCACAATGTAAGTATAAACACAAAATAAATAAATAACTAGCATTAGATAAATACATTTACCTAAGATTTATTCCACTACCTAAGCACTAGGACTTATTTCATTCGATAGTAGGTATCAAAACGTAAACTGTGTGTAAAATATCGCTTGCTTTCATTCTATTTTTTAAAAGTACGAGTGTGTACTTTATGTCTCGTTAAAAAAGTGTTAGCTGTATAATACAATGAATGACTTTTTCAACAGAATTAACATTATTTATTTATTTTTTCTTGACAGTAAGTGCTTCAATCACATTTATATGATTAAGAGATTATCTATTACAGGCAATAGGTTTACTCGAGCATCAATTATCATAAAATTACTCGAGCGAAAATATTATGAGATCGTTGAAAATTTTTCACAAGATGTTAAGTTAGGTTTTGATGAATTATAAGTATATATATATATATATATATATTTTTTTTTTTTCATTCTGTAACAGTCTTAAAATCTTATAAAAGTCTTTCATTTAATTATTTTTAATTCATAAAAAAGCTGTTTGTTTGACATTTTGAACAAAGATTTTAAAAATTGAAATTTCACAACAATTTTTTCAGTGTCTTAGAGCGTGTATCGAATTCAAAAACATTTTATCAGTAAAAGTTTATTTTTTTTAGCCTAAAAAGTTATTTATTTAGTATTCGTTTTAAATTTTAGTAACCCTTTCTGTAAAATATTTTATCTTATCTTTTACAGTTTGAAATCCTTATAACTGTTTGGGTTTTAAAATTATTGGGGAAAGTAAAACCTTTCACGAACCTCTCCCCTTATAAATCACCTTTTTCCTCAATCCAAATAGTCTGGAAATGTAATAAATTTGAAAAAACAAAAATAAATAAATAATAAAATAAAATAAATAAATAAATATAACCACAATTCTCAACAGATCTCAAACTTAAGCAGTTTTTTTACACAATACTTTTCAGTGGACAATTTGTTAAAACCATCATGAAACACAACAACATAAGCAACAATTTTAAAATAAGGATATTTCTTCAACGGAGAATATTGATTTAAAAAAAAATGATATTAATGCTTGAAATTTTAGTTCCACACTTTGTAATTAGTACAAAGCTATATATTTAAAAAATTAAGAAGTCAGTTTTTATTTAAATCTTTAATTTTAACTTGAAGTTTTAGATTTATTTTTATTAACAACTTTTTAAAATTTAAAATATAGTTCATTCGATGTAGAATAAGAAGGTACATAAATAATTACCAATAATTAAGCTTTAAAATCGTATGTCTAAGTTGGACGAAATTATTTCCGAAAATATGGTGTTTAGCACAACAATGCGTCGGCCAAGATCTATTTATTCTAGAATTTTTCTCATACCACAGAAACAGCAGCATCATAATTTATGGAAATATCTAGATGTGGAAAGCAATTTCTGATTTTTTATTTATTTATTTTTTATAAATCAACGTAGACCGTAATGTGAGTGGATTGAATCTTTGAATGTCCCTGCTTTGATTGCTTCTGTGTAATTGAGGACCCAAATAGTGGTTCTGTATTGCGGGTACTGCAGTCACCAAGCGCCGCCATCCGATCGGCAGCTATAGGAGAGGATCAAACAAAAATGGATTCAATAGAGCCACATGTAAGTATAACTTTTCAGGTGTTTGTTTTTCTTTCAATTTCGCCCGGTTATCGGTAGCAAAATGGATGCAGTTGGTTTAGGCTAATTTATATTTTTTTTTCCTCTTACCCTCCAATGATTTTATTTAACAAATGACAAAAATACATATAAATAAAATGAAAAAAAAAAAGTTTATTTTTTACGAATAATTAAATTTAAAAAAAACAAAATATTGACAAAACAAACAAACCCTGCCCATTCTAACCTCTGTGCATTAATATCATGAGATATTGATTGACCAGTTTCTGTAAGCAGTTCTTTATTGGTCTTTCTTCTCCATGTGTTAGTACTCTGATCCCAGATCGCTCCGGTTATCATCTGGAGGATTTTCCTCTCAAATCTCTCAACATTTTTGTCTAGGGTGCTTTTTAGTGTCCAGGTCTCAGCCATATATTAGAACTGGCTATATCATAGCATTGTACACTCTTAATTTGAGAATTTTAAGGTTAGATTCAATACCTTTGAAAGGGAGAAGAAAGCTCTATTTGCGTTTTTTATACAGTGGTATAATTCCAACTATTGTTCATTACAAAACCTCCAAGAGAAGAAGCCAGTCTGAATTATGGTAACTGACCCAAGAAACGCCTAAATGACCTAAGAATTGGAATTTGGAACATTTTACGATTGCATAGAGAAGGAACACTTCGTGCGCTGCTTGCAGAAGTGGACACATACAGAATCAACATAGCAGCTATCCAAGAGGTCCGATGGATAGGACAAGGAATTATGGAAAAGAAGTATCATACACTCTACTATAGTTGCCATTAAAAACATCTTCGGTACAGGATTTGTTGCGAGAAGCAGGGCTCGACAGATAGTGATGCGATTTACTCCCATTAACCAAATGTTACGCTACATTCGACTTAGAGAAAATTTTTTTAATTTCTCACTAATTAACTGCCATGCCCCAACAGAGGTGTCACCTCAGGAGGATAAGGACTCATTCTATGAAGAACTTGGAAGAGTGACAGAAAGCTGCCCCAAAAATGATGTTAAAATCATACTTGGTGACTTGTAACGCCCCAACTCGATAAGGAAGTGGCACTCGTACTTACCATAGGAACCCACAGCTTGCATGCAATCAGTAATGATAATGGGCTCCGGATGGTGAACTTTGCTACATCGTATGGACTGGTTGTTACAATAACCAGTTCAACAACTGGAACAACCAGTTGGTTCTGTATTATTTATTGTAAATAGAGTGTGGATGTGCTCTCTGAACACTATTATAAATGTCCTTAATTGTGACAGATTTTAATAATTCTGAAAATACTAAAAAAATTTCACATATGACCTTCTGTATCAACAGTACTAATATAAAACATTATTTTATATAAGTATGTAGAAATATTTAAAAGATTGATAGTAGATAGATATCAGGAACTACAAAAAAAAATCATATAAATCATTATCTAATTTCCAACAGAAAAATAGAAAATTTAAGATTTGTGTTTTTCAAAGTGATTCACGTTTTTTGTTGAATTGGAGGCAATAACTAAAAAAAAATTTGATTAAAAATCGTGATTGAAAAAAGTAATTAAAAATCGCTCCATAACAAACTGGACAAAATTTACTTCAAACAAAAGAAGAGTTTATCAATATGAAAACCATTTAAAGAGGTATAATGAGTGGAAAAACTCAGCAAAGTTCCGTTTAAAAAAAAGGCATAAATTATCTGAGTTTTTTTATTACCCTTCAACTACACTACAGTCACCCCATTCTTAGAAAAACTTCCTGATTTAATTAGCTTTAAGTCCATATCAATTAAGTTGAGGTTTATTAGGAAATTTTTGTCTCATTTTGTGTAAAGAAATGATGTAATGTCTATTTATAAGTGACAAACTTAATGTTTCTTACTAAAATTTACGTTTAAAATAAATAAACCTAATGATCGCTTTAATTATTTTCATGAAAACGTAAATATTAGGGCTAGAAACATTAAGTTTGTCACTTATAAATACACATTAATTCCTATGACAGAAAAACACAATTTCATAACCACCTTCCATAAAAAATATTTGAAATTCTTTACTTTTAACTTTTTTATTTTTAGAAATGAAATATATTTATAGGCTATTCTGTTTCTTACGCTACATCCCATATCACGGGAAAACAAGAAATAAAAGCTTTACAACAGTTAAAATTGAATTGAATCTCAATTTTCTTCCAAATAAACCTCAACTTAATTAATTGTGAATTGATGGTTGGCTGTAGTGAATAATTGAAGAGAATATTGGTTGGGGTATTCAGTCAAAAAAATGTAAAAATAAATAAATTCTATTTATTTAATTTTTGCCGTTTCGGCCATATATATATATTTTTTTTTTTTCTTTTTTTTTTTATTTATATGTAACACATGCAAACCAAGCACAAATAAAGCTTTCTTCTCTCTTTCAAAAGAACTAAAATCACATAAAATTTCTAGAAATCAAGGGTGTGCAATGCTAAGATAAACAGAATTCAGATATGCGGTTCCGAGTCCTATTGAGTAACTTAAAGAAAATATAGAAGTGAAGTTTTTCACTTAAATCTCAGTATTTACCACAGCATTTTCTCTAACTTTCTATTAAAGTTATTTCTCTATAAGTATTACAGATAACATAGGAAAATAATATATATCCTTGAAGAAAATATGATGTTAAACAACTTTATTCCCCAGACTTTTTTGTAGAATTAATAGATACAGAGTTGGGTAGTTAAACAAAGATAAAAACATGAGCCATTTTTTTTTTCAAACTTAGATAGGAAAATAATTAATATATTAATATTAACAATATTGTAACAAATTTTATCGGCTTTAATTTTTTAATTAATGTCTTTGTTAATAACACAAACTTTCTTGATTTAACCCAAAGAAATGACTCCCCTCTCTTAAGAGTAGGAACTTTTAGCAGTTTTATCTCCTAACTAGGCCTAAGTCCTAAAGTCAAGAGTTGGGTTCCATCCAATTCTCTTTATAATCATGTTGCTCGGTGACTGAACTAAGATGGATAAATCAAATCAACAAAGATTCTCCACAGCCACAAGCAACTGAAAAGTAATAACCCTAAAGGGGCAGAAGACTGTGTAAGATGGGAGAAGACCTACAAAGTTTGTAAAACCAAGAGGATAAAAAGGAATGCAAATCAAAATCATATATGTGTCAACATTGAAGTAGGTTTAGATATATAACAATTAAAAAAAAAACAGATTAAATAAAATATATTTTATTTACACAATCTTTCTTTTCTTTTTCACAATTTTGATTTTTTTCTGAGGAACGATAACATTATTTATACTTTCTAATGATCCAGTTGATTTGGAAGCCATAGGTACATTGAGAAGTTCTTTTAACTGCTTCTTGGCTAAATCTAATGCTTTTCGTTTTTTTGCCACTTCGTAATCATCTGATTTATTAGGTCTGAAATATAAAGAATTTAAACTTAAAATTAATAATTTATAAGCATTGAATCACAGCATACACTAAAATTAATATTTAATTTAATAAAATCACAGTCAATTTATAAATTTAAAACAAGTAAACCATGGATTCCCTTATCAATTTATCAGGCCATGTTATTCTTCCTGATATGACTGAGAATCATTTGCTATTGTTAGAATGAAAACTTATGAGTAGAGAACGGATTTTCGTGCAGGAAAAATCCGTAAAACGTGCAGTAAAAAACTCAAAATGTGCAAAATCGTGCAGTATAAATCCAAAATACGTAAAATTGTGTAATTAACATCTATAAATGTGCAAAATAATTAATATTGTTTAACTTATAACATTAATACATCTAAATCTTATCAGACCTTGAGTTAACCGAGATTAAAAAAAAAAAATTGAAATGTAACTTTAAAAATGAAATTCCAGATTATAATCAACTATTATAATAACGATTATTATCAAATAATGCAGAAAATTGAAGGTTTGAAAGAATAAATGAAAACAGGAATTATAGGTGCCTATGTGTATATTACATAGATCAGACAAATTTTAGATATAAAACTTTTATTAAAAATAATAATAAAAACTTTATTTTTTAAAACAGTTGAATTTTCTAATACTATACATTCCCAAAAGTTTTTGTTAAAATTTAAAGAATTTTGAAATATACTGTTTTTTTTTTGTTACTGTTATGTTTGAGATTTTCAAGTGTTCAAAAATTAGTGTTTAAGCTGTTTTTCTATACCACTAAAAATATATTTTTGGGGATTACGTTCTTTCTAAAAAACAAAAAAATAATTCAATTCTTTGATAAGAATATTTTTTTCTTACTTCTTCCCCAATGAGCGTCTATCAGTGATTTCCGATCATCTGATTGATTTATTAGGTGTATAGAACTATCTCATCACTATCTTTGTCCTCACACTTCAAATCGGGTTATTTTTATATCCAGATTTTAATTTTTGATGGGAAACTAGATTTTACTTTCAGCAATATAATTTTTTTTTTAATAGGAATGAAATTTCTACAAATCAAATCAAAGCCAGAAGTCATACTGAAGGATTGAATGGTGAGTGAGGATTCAAGCCAAAACAATAACTATAAATGTCTAACTAACAAAGCAGCTAATTCTAGGAAAGCTTATCCAATATTCCAAGAATAGATCTCACTTGTGTTTACTTCTTCCTTTTGTTGTGAATATGATTTTTTCAGTGACTTCACTTTTCACACAGAATTATTTGCCTTCCTTATATTTTTCTATTTTGAATAATGAATTTATTTGAAAAATATAGTAAAATAAGTATTAATACACTCACTTATACATTTATTTATAAATCGTCTAATTTAGCACAAAAGTGCAAAAATTTACAATTTAATGCAACAAAAATCAAAATCATGCAATTTAAGCCAAAAATGTGCAATTTCGTGCAATATAAAATTTAAAAATGTTATTCTACAGGTTCTGAAATGGATAGATGTTCGGGTCCGGAGTTTTTACACGCAAGCGAATAAAAAGTGTAATAATATGGAAACCCGGTCTCTAGTTATGAGACAAGTTGAACACTCAGTTGATATCAATTGAGTTAGGCTGCAGGAAAAATCAGTTCCTAAAAAAACATATCTTTGTTGAACAATTTTGCAGATATTCAACTGAATCACTTGCATCAACTATATATATATATTATGATGTAAGTGAATGATGGCTTTTGTCATTCTATTTGGGCTGTGCTTTTCTCACGAAATTTGCTTTGTTGTATTTGTTTCAATTAGTGTTTAACCACAGCTATAGGAAATGTTTGATTTATTGAAAATACAGTAAGGGTTAATGTTAAATTCACTTATGTATATATATATAGTAAGGAAAAGTATTGTGATCTTATTATTAGTTAAATATATATTTCAGTACTATAAAAGTGCAATTTTTAGAGTTAACAGTAATAGTGTTTTTTTTTTTCTTTTATTATTATTAAGCTACTCCAAAACACAAGTTTAAAAACAAAGAAGGATTGTTTTAATTATTGGCAAAGAAATAATGTAATAAAATGTTAAAAACGCTGCAAATTATTATATAATGGTTTATTCACAATATTACTCAATTCTTCTTCGGTGCATACTATTTATTTTCAAGTTAATTTATTATTAGCCATATTTACACCAATTTAAAAAAATTTTTGTCACTTAATGACTACTCATCAAAATGACGACGTTTCGGCTCGTCGAGCCATTTTCAAGTCTAAAAAAATTTTTTCATTTACAATCATATATTAACTTTAACATATTTCAAATTATAAAGATACTTATTATGTACCTAAAATACCCATCATGTACCTGTCATTTTCACTTATGCGAATTGCAAGCGTCTACTCATAATAAAATTCCTTATTATTGTCATGTTCACCTTTAATTATTTAACAACATTATTATTACTCAATTCTTTACTATTAAATGATTCAAAATAAGTTAAAATTACCTTGTTTCTGAGTCACCCATATGTCATCCATCTCATTTCTATTCAGTGACTGGTTATTCTTATAGGAGTAGGGGAAGACTATTTATTATGAACATATATAATGCTGTTACTCAATATTACATGTGGATCTATTTTAAGTAATATTAGCTGATTTATTTCAAATTTTGATTTTTTCAATTGAACTAGCGTAAAAAGTATTCATATTATCCACGTCTGTATGATTATTTACTGAGTTTTTTAAGTTTTTAGTTATGTATATTGCTTCTTTAATTCTACGTTTATTCGTATTTCTTTCATTATGTAGGATTTTGGCATTTTTCAAATCAAATTCATGTTTAGTTTGCATATTATGTTGAGAGAGTCCAGTAGCTAATTTAATTTTTGTGTTTTTTGAATTAGAATTTTGTTTATGCTGTTTAAGCCTTTTTTCAAACCATTGGGATGTCTGTCCAAAATATGCTTTGTTGTTGCAATTTTTACAATTTATTTTATAAATAATATTCCTTAATTTATCGATAGGTACTTTATCTTTAGTTTTCGAATAAATTGTATCTAATTTATTAATTGGTTTGCTTGCAAATTTAATTTCATTTACATCGTATTGTTTAAATGTTCTTTCAATTTTATCAGTTAAGTTTCTAATATATGAGACGCTAAAATATTTTTTAGGTTGTTGTTTGTTCCCATTACATTTTTCAATTTGTGTCTTAATGTCATGTATATCGTTCATGGAAGGTTTTTGTTTTACTGCATTTTCAGTTTTAAAATAATTTGTTATTAAATTCGGTTCTTTATTAATTTTAATATTTTGCTTCACTTTCTCACTCCTATCATCGCTAATATCAATAATCTGTTTGTTACTATTGTCATTTATAATTAACTTTTTATTTTTATACCATAATTTATTTATTAATCGAATGGGGTACCAATTTTCTAATAGAATTTGATATATTTGTGCTTTGATTTCTTTTATATGATTTTGATCTGTTATTAATTTTGCCTTATTTATTAAATTTTTAGCTGTGTTAATTATTATATGGTTTTTGTGGTTACTGTGCCAATTTAGGATTCTATCACTAGTTATTGTTTTTTTGCACCATGCTAAGATCGCCGCTTTCGTTTCTGTGAATATACATATCAAGATATCTTATTTTGATGTTATTCTCAATTTCTATTGTGAATTTTAGTTTATCTGATATATCATTTAGTTTATCAAGAAAATTAACAGATTCATTTTTATTTATTATTGCAAGTATATCGTCAACGTATTTTATAATAATCTTCGGTTTTTTTCCCCATTTAATTATAGCATCAAAACACAAAAATTAAATTAGCTACTGGACTCTCTCAACATAATATGCAAACTAAACATGAATTTGATTTGAAAAATGCCAAAATCCTACATAATGAAAGAAATACGAATAAACGTAGAATTAAAGAAGCAATATACATAACTAAAAACTTAAAAAACTCAGTAAATAATCATACAGACGTGGATAATATGAATACTTTTTACGCTAGTTCAATTGAAAAAATCAAAATTTGAAATAAATCAGCTAATATTACTTAAAATAGATCCACATGTAATATTGAGTAACAGCATTATATATGTTTATAATAAATAGTCTTCCCCTACTCCTATATGAATAACCAGTCACTGAATAGAAATGAGATGGATGACATATGGGTGACTCAGAAACAAGGTAATTTTAACTTATTTTGAATCATTTAATAGTAAAGAATTGAGTAATAATAATGTTGTTAAATAATTAAAGGTGAACATGACAATAATAAGGAATTTTATTATGAGTAGACGCTTGCAATTCGCATAAGTGAAAATGACAGGTACATGATGGGTATTTTAGGTACATAATAAGAATCTTTATAATTTGAAATATGTTAAAGTTAATATATTATTGTAAATGAAAAATTTTTTTAGACTTGAAAATGGCTTGACGAGCCGAAACGTCGTCATTGTGATGAGTAGTCATTAAGTGACAAAAAAAAATTTTAAATTGGTGTAAATATGGCTAATAATAAATTAACTTGAAAATAAATAGTATGCACCGAAGAAGAATTGAGTAATATTGTGAATATTATTAACTGGGAGGCCTAACAACGACCCAGAAAACATGCCGAAGGATGAAGTATGGAAGAATTGGAAATTTACAATTGTGAATACAATAAATGGTAATGTAAACCTATCATGTACTTATAAATTTCTTAATAATTTTTCAAAAATTTTAAAGATAAATAATAAATTATTTTATTTAAAAAAATGTAAATACTCGGACATGATACTGCAACACTTGCTGAAAAAAATTTTACCTTTGGAAAATCTTTTTAATACCTCATTTCTAACAAATTATAAAGAAAAAACGAATAACTTATTTAATAAATTAGCAAGAGATATGGCTAATAATAAATTAACTTGAAAATAATGGTTTATTATTTCCAAACAGTTATACAGGATGTCCCGTAAGTAGAGAGAAATTTTTACAGT